AACAGTATCTACCTTTTCTTCTTGAGTACCACACATATTTTCATTTCAACTCACATTTATCAATCACTTATTATGTGTACAACCCTGTGAAAAGTGCTGGGGATCCAAAGAAAATTGTTCTAATCTCTGCCTTCAAGGAGCTTGCTTTCTGCTAGGATAAAACTTTGGCATGGCTGAAAGCTGGTCTCTAGCACCCTATTTATGACTTGAGAAGCAGCGTGAACAGTAGAGCATGCTGCATTTGGCATCAGGATTCTTGTTAAAATCTTAGCTCTGCCACTCCTATCTGAATGACTCTGGGCAAATTACTTAACCTTGATGAACCTCAATTTCTCCACCTGTAAAATGATGATATTGAACCAAATGACCTCTTTTCTTACTCTAACATCTGTGTTCCTTTGATCCTATTGTCTTTCTTGATCCTCTAATTGTTAAATGTATGCTAGTCTTGTTCTCTTACCTACACTGGGAATCCTACATTCTGTTGTTGTTGTTGTTCAGTTGTGTCTGATTCTTTGCACCCCCATTTGAGGTTTTCTTGGGAAAGATATTGATGTGGTTTGCTGTTGTCTCCTTTAGTCCATTTTACAGATGGAGAAACTGAGGTAAATAGGGCTAAATGACTTGCCCATTACAAGTCTGAGGCAGTATTTGAACTCAGGAAGATGATTCTTTCTGACTCTAAGCCCGGCACTCTGTCCACTGTTCCATCTAGCTTTCTACTAGCACCAAAAAAACAATTGTAGGTCAGGATCCAGAGTTTGATGGGACCTTAGACATAATCTAAGAGAGGCGGCATGGTATAATGGACAGAGTGCTAGAAATGAAGTTGGAAAAACTTTGTTCAAATCTTCTCTCGTCCTTACTGTGTGAACATGAACAAATAAAGTAATGCTCTCTGGGTCTTGGTTTCCTTATTTATTAAATGGAGATATAAAATAGAAGCTTTTCATGAGATATGAATGAGATAATATACATATAGCACTTTGTAAGTCTCAAAATACTACATAAATGTCAATTATTTACATTTAGTTATCTGGTCCCACAGAGCCCCTTCTGTACTACTCTCCTCTAGATATATCCCTGACAAATAGTCCCCATCTTCTGCTTAAATATCAACAACATACTATTTCAAAAGCAACTCATTTCATTGAGGGATATCTTTAATTGTTCTATTTGATTTCTGTATATTAATCTGAAATTTACCTGTGAGTGACTTCTACCTCATGAGCGAGGAGGTGGAAGTATTATTGGCTTCATTTCCTGGATGAGAAAATGAACAATCATCCAGGTTAAATGGCCACATCCCAAGGAAATATTAGGTTCGGTACTCCATGATGTCCATACTTTGCTTTTATGACTGATGGAGTCAAATCACTGATACTTATTATTGTCATATGCTAATGGAGTACAGACAGCAAATCAACATTTGAAACTGTGTCCGTTAAGTTAAATATGTGCCACTGTGCCCAAGCATAATAGGATAAGTTAGTGGAGAAGAATCAGTCCTAAGGGTGAATGTATTTCCTCTCACCAGTTTTTAGCACAGCCTTAACAATGCTTAAATGTAGGCTGTAGGGATGTATTAATATACTCTCATTGTAAAGACAAAAACTAAATTTGCATGGCAGCCACTGTTGCATATTGCATATTTCAGTCGAGTTATAAGTTTCATTAACAGCACAGGGAAGGTTTTTATGAGTGTCCATGAAAGAAAAAGGAATAAAATTTGTCTCCTCTTTAAAATTTTATAACTGGAGTTACACTGAACATTAAGTAGATCAGTTCCTAATGCTGCAAAAAGGAAGGGACAAAATGTTGATTTCTAGGGCCCAGATACAACTAAAAATATTCGTATATTTGAAAGAGCTCACACGTCTCCATGGTTCAAACTGGCCTGCTTGCTTCTCCCTATACATCATGTTCTATTTCTTTCTTACTGGCCTTTACACAAGTGGTCCCAATGTCTTCCCTCCTTAACTCTGCCTAGAATAATCCCTGGTGTTTTTCATAGGTCAACTCAAGGGCTACCATCTTGTTATGGCCTTTCCAGGTCCCCTTAGATAACAGGATTCCCTCCCTCATGAGATAATGTGATTATCTATACTTTGTAGTATACATGATGAATCTTCCAACTTGAAAGTAAGACTGTTAGAGAAATCACTATTTTTCTTTTGTTTTATATCCCTACCATCCAATACAGTGCTTTGTATACAGCAGGTGCTTAATGTTTTTTTTAATTGAATTAAGTATCTTCTGGTAGAAGACAGAACAGTCTGCCAGATTACAGCTATTACTCAAGCTATCTATGTTCACCTCAATCACATACTTAGAATACTTTTAGATAAGATGTCATTAAGTTTTTGACCCTGAAAGACAAATATTATATATTCAATTGGTACAAGAGCTTCACTAAACACTCAGTTATTCCTTTTTTGAAATAACCCTTAGTTGGTACCACTCATGTGATATTTATAATATATATGGAATACAATTCAGGCCATCATCTGTCACTTAAATTACTATAATAATCACCTAACAGGTCTCCCTCCATGGAAACTCTTCACTCTTCAATCTATCTTCCACACAGATGCCTAAGTAATCTTCCTAATGTGTGTCTTAATGAGCAAACTATTTAAAAAAAAAAACCTTCCATAGCTTTCCATTGCATACAGAATAAAATACATACTTCTAGCTTGTCATTCAAGGCCATATGTCTCGAGCTTACCTTTCTAGCTTTGGCAATCTCTCACTGTAACTGAAATAGGAGTAAGGACTAGAGATCTGCTGTGTGGTATGCTGAGAAACTGTCTCAAAGTGGTTGCCTGAAAGACCCTTTTTGATGCCAGCTAGAGAGAGGAGTAGGAAGGAAAGACCCTAAGTGATGATAAGTGATGATTTGCCTAGAAACACTTAGCCTGAGGGGACAGCTAAGAGAGTGATCTCACTTTCCCACAGGCCTCACTTTCCCACAGGATCCCACTTTTCCACTTCCCTAAGGAAGTGGGAATCTACTCGGACATCTAAAACAGAATAGCCCCTCTCCCCAGAGGTGCAGGCCTGGGATGGCTAAAACGGCCAGATCAGAAGGCAAGTGGGACTTCCCTAAATAGCTCCAAGGAAGCTCAAGAAAGCTTCCTCCATTTTCTCCTAAAAGGTAAGTCTCCTGAACCATTAGCAAAGCAAAACAATATCTACCTCAGTGTCTTCAGACCCTGAAAACATCCATCCCTACTTCCAACCTTAATATATTGCTTTTTCTCCACCTGTAAGGAAATATATGGGGAAGAGTTATCTTCTATTAACTCATGAGTGCTTGAAACAGGTTTTATGGCATAGGTTTTCGTGATAGCTCTGTTGGATAGGAATTGTCCAATTAAAAACTATATTGGAGTAATGGCTAGAGCCCTGGCCTTTGATTTAGGAAGACCTGGGTTCAAGTTCCATCTAAGACTCTTGCTAGCTGTGGGACTTTAGGCAAATGACTCAATGTCTCTGTGCCTCAGTGACTTCATTTGTAAAATAAGTGGTTGGATTCAATGGCTTCTAAGGTCCCTTCCAATTCTAAATTTATGCTCCTTTCATATCTGGGGATTTACCTGGTCTGTGAGTAGAATCTTATACTGGATTACAGCTCATTCCAAGAGTACATTTCCTTTCCCCCACAATGAATTCAGTTGTGGTGAAAGAAGCCCTTTGGGAGAGAAAGGGACCTCTATAATGCTTGCAAACTAGTTATTTGTGTGATAATTCCTTCCTACTAGATTTTGAATAGCTTGAGGGAGGGGTCTATGCTGTTTTTAAACTTTGCATCCTGAGGGCCTAATAATAACCCTCAAATCTATAGTGCTTTAAGTTTATAAGCTGATTTTCTCAAAACAATACCAAGAGGTAGATATTATGCATTAATAACCTCATTTTACAGACAAGGAAACTGAGACTCAAAGATTAAGTTAATTTCCCATAATTACAGAGCTAAGAGATGTCAGAGATAGGATGCAAACAAACCCAGGTCTACTGACCCCCTAGTCCAGCACTGTCTCTAAAAAATTATGCTATCTTTATAGGCCTACTGCTATGGCTTACCCATAAACAATAATTATAACGTCATTGTTATGTCTTATCTCCTCTCCTATATCCTAAGAGACAGTGTATATGAGGAAAGAGTGCTAGACCTGCAGTGGTGCAAGATCAGGGTTCAAATCTTGCCTCCGACCCTGATTAGTTGTATGATCCTTGGCAAGACACAACTTCCTGAGTCTCTACTCCAAAACAGCAATAAAAATGCCTGCAGTAACAACCCCAGAGTTTTGTTGTGAGGCTTACATGAAATCAGGCATGTAAAAGATGTGATATGTGGTGAATGTGCCCTAGGCAAGAAGACATGGGCTGAAATACAGCACGTTTTGGACACTTTAAAAAGCTCATGTGAACATGGGCAAGTTTATTATGCTCCTTAAGTCTCAGTTTCTTTATCTGTATAATAAGCTTAATAATCTCAAGAGATTGTTGGGCAGATCAAATGAGGTATTATTATTATTATTATATAAAAAGTGTTTTACTGAAGTGTTACATAAAGGGGCAGCTAGGTGGCCCAGTGGGTAGAGCACCGGCCCTGAAGTCAGCAGAACCTAAGTTCAAATCGGGTCTCAAACCAAACACTTGACACGTACTAGCTGTGTGACCCTGGGCAAGTCACTTAACCTAAATTGCCTAAAAAGAAAAAAAAAAGAAGTGTTACATAAATGACAATTCTCATCATTATACATTTTTTTAAGAGAGAGGAAATAGATTTGTTGTATCTTTCACAGTGCCTAGTAGATTGCATTACCTCATACCAAGTACTCATTAAATCATCATTGAATTAATGAAGTAAGGAAGAAATGAATGAACTAAGCATTATCATACTGAAATATAACTAATTATCTAAGTCCAAGCTCTCTTAACACTGTGTTTAGCCCATGCCTGTTGCCTCTATAATCATTGGCTTCTAATCTTACCTGTTCTGACAACCAATCTTACTTCACTTTCTCATTGTCTGGGGAATCTTTAGTCTTCTCTGCACTGGGGAAGCCTAGTCACCATTTAGCTTTTCTGAATACTTAATGATACAGTCCCAGGTCACTACTGGACTTGCCAAGTTCTTCATAGGTCCTTCCCCTGAAGAATGATGAAGAAAATAACTTGTATATGAAATTAAAGTGTTGGGTGTATTCAGGGAAGGCTGGTGCCTCTGATGTGAAGGCTGCTGAGCTCTTTTCAGGGCTGCTTTCCACTTTGGGTGTCCATTCGATTCACCTAACTTTCACCTGTAACTCCAAGAAGTTTTAACCAAGCACAGCAGCCACAGCTTGGTCAACTGTTTCAGCAGATGGGCTAAGCCAGGTTGAGTATAACCGAGGGGTCTCAAACCCTTCTGTGAGCTAGGGGGGTATATGAAGTTTATGAAGACTTCTCTGGCAGAATGGGTGAATGAGAACAATTTGTTCCAACGGCCGTGAAGGCAGCTGATGCAGGCACTGTGGAACACTTAAGAGTTTGCTTAGATATCAAAGACACCAAGGTCATCCATTGCATTCAGGGCCATCACAGTTGTCTTGACTTTGTCTTGCTTTTAACCAGACTCTGATGATTCTAGAAGACAGAGTGAGGCCAATGACTTAACCCAACTCTTCCTCACTTGAATTCAGTCTACGTGTGAGTTAAAAGACATCATCCATACCATTTTACTTATATTTTTTTAAAACTACATCAAAGTCCTACAGTGATAGGCAAGAGATGAAGCAATAGATGCAGATACACAGGGAACTGTAATCACAACCCTGCATACAGGCAGCCTAGGTCATAGGGTTGTCTTCTCACTGGAAGTAGCAGTGGAATATGGCAGCCCCATAGGTGTCTGAGCAACTTTATAAGGACTACATTGCTCAATTCCTGATGTGAGGAAGGGGCTAGAAAAGGTGCCTTAAAAAGTGTCTGTTTTGGAGCAGCTAGTGGTGCAGTAGATAGAGCACTGGCCCTGGAGTCAGGAGGACCTGAATTCAAATCCGGTCTCAGACCAGACACTTGACACTTACTAGCTGTGTGATCCTGGACAAGTCACTTAACCCCAATTGCCTCACAAAAAAAAAAAACCAACAATAATAAAAAAATTGCCTGTTTCACTCAGCCCTAGCCTGTTTACTGCAGCCCATGAGGATCCTCCCTGTGGTTGAAACACAAAAAAATGCACAAAAACTTTTGCAAAACTGCATTTGCTATCACTACATGGAATGTGTACACACTTAGAGACAACACAAAATCCAGTAGACTTGAAAGATGAACAGCTTTTGTTGCAAGAGAACTCAGCTGGTATCTCATCCAGATAGTAGCTCCAAGTAAAACAAAGCAGGTAAATGAAGGACAGCTTCCTCAAGTCAGAGCTGGATACACATTTTTCTGGATGGCCAAAGTGAAGGGAAGCACTATGAAGCTGGTGTAGATTTTGCAACCAAAACTAATCTAGAGAGCATACTTGTATGCCTACCAATGCAACTGACACTTGTAGGAAAGTGCCACACCACTATCATCAGTGAATATGCTACCACCATGATGACCCCTGGTGAGATCAAAGAAGAATTTTATGAAGTCCTGGAGACCCTCATCATCCATGTGCCAAAATAGGACAAACTTATAATTCTGGGTGAATTTAATGCAAGAATAGGCACAGACTACCAAATATGTAAGGGAACCTCAGGGAGGAATGGAGTTGGAAAAAGCAATAGCTATCGTCACTTACTACTGAAGACTTGTTCATCTCAGACCTTCTCTTCACCAACACTGTCTTCCCTTTACCCAATCACAATAAAAATTTCATGGATGCACCATTGCAACAAACATTGTCATTTAATAGACTATGTCATTGTGAGGAGAAGAGACAGACATGATATGAGAGTGACGAAGGCAATGTGTGGTCCAGAGTGCTGGATTAAGCATAGACTTATCCTCTCCAAGCTAAATATTCACATTCAACAAAAGCAGCAGCCCCAAGGAAAGACAATAATCAGAAGACTTAATGTCAACAGATTAGAATGCTTTTCCAAGCAGGAATAGTGTGTTGCTAATTTGAAGGGAAAGCTGAACCAACACATGGTTGACAACAGTGGAGCAGAAAAGTAGTGGGCAACTACAGATTTGCTATACAGTACTGCATTTACTCATTTGGGCCAGACAACTCACAAACATCAAGACTGGTTTGACAAAAATTATGGGGAAATTCAGAAGCTGCTAAATGAAAAATGAGATCTCCACAGAGTTTACCAGTAAGATAGTTCATCCATCTCTAAGAAGGCAGCATTTAACTCCATTGAAAGTAAAGTGCAAAAAAATAAAAAATAAGATTAAATTAAAATAAAATAAAATAAAATAAAAAGAAAGTAAAGTGCAAGCAAAGTTTAGAGAGTCAGGATTCTTGGCTCAATTTCTTGATGAAATTCAGTTTTATACTGATAGTGACAATCCAAAGCACTTTTATGATGCTCTGAAGGCATTTTATGGGCCAAAGACCTATGGTGCATCTCAAGTACTCAGTGCTGATGGAGCCATATTGATTAATGATAAGGACATAATCCTAGAGAGATTGGCTGAACACTTCCATAGTCTTCTCAGGAGACTGTTATCAATCAATGCTGAAGCCACTGACTGTATACCTCAGATAGAGGTCAACCCCTCTCTAGCCAAATTTCCAACTGAAAAAGAGGTTTTGAATGATATTAGATTCCTCTTAGGTGGCAAAGCTCCTGGTGCTGATTCTATTTCAGCTGAGATTTACAAGGCAAATGGTCCACTGCTCACACAAAAGCTGACTGAGTTCTTCTGGGTTATTTGGCAAGTGAAGGTTATCCCCTAGGAGGTATAAGATGCCTCCATTGTTCATTCCTATAAAGGTAAAGGAAATAGACTGTCCTGTTGGGGGGGGGGAAGGGAGGGGTCTCTCTCTCTTTGCTGGAAAGATTCTTGCCAGAGTCCTCCTTAACAAGTTGTTCCTTCACCTAGGAGATAGTCATCTACGTAAGACCCAGTGTGGCTTCAGAAAGGGCCACAGAATGGTCGATATGATGTTTGCTACCTGATAATTCCAGGAGAAATGCCAGGAGCAGAACCGACCAGGGACTTTGATACTGTCAGTCACGAGGGTTTGTGGAAAATTATGGCAAAATTTGGTTGGCCAGAGAATTTTATCAGTATTGTACATCAATTTCATGATGGCGTGCTTGCTTGGGTTCTGTATAATGGATGATGCTCTTGTGCTTTTCCAGTCACCTGTGGAGTGAAACAAGGCTGTGTGCTTGCTTCCATGCTTTTTAGCATGATGTTTTCAGCCATGTTGTCAGAAGCCTTCAATGAGGATGAAAACAGTATCAAGGTCAGTTACCAAGCTAATGATAAATTATTTAACTTGAAAAGGCTATAAGCCAAGACTAAAGTGGAGGGAGAGTTGGTGCATGATTTTTTTGTTTGTTTGTTTGCAGATGACTGTGTACTCAATGCAACCTCTAATGCGGAGATGCAACAAAATAGGGATTGATTCTCTGCTACTTGTACTATTTTAGCCTAACAATTAACACCAAGAAAACACAGGTGTTCCATCAGCCAGCACTACACCATCCAAATGTGGAACCACTGGTTACAGCAGATGGAGAAATTTTGCATACTATGGATAAGTTCCTCCACCTTGGCAATATAATGTCCAGGGATGTCCACATAAATGATGAGGTTGATACATGCATTTCCAGAGACAGCTCAGTGTTTGGTAGGCTCTGAAGGAAAGTGAGGGAGAGAAGAGCTATTAGGCTGCCTACCAAACTGAAGGTCTACAATGCTGTTGTGCTGACTTTATTATTGTATGCCTGTGAGACTTGGACAGTACACTAGCACCATGCCAGGAAACTGAATCACTTCCATTTGAATTGTTTTAGGAAGCTTCCGAAGATCACCTAGCAAGATAAGGTACTGAGGTCCTTTCCTGACCTAAACTCCCAAGAATTCAAACTCTACTACACAGAGCCCAACTCTAATGGGCTGGCCACATTCTTTGATTGGCAAATGCACATTTGCCTAAAGACTATTTAATGCCAAAAGACATTTCCCTAAAAGACTAATCACTCAAGGCAGGGACTCACATGGTGATCAGAAGAAGTGATACAAGGGCACTCTCAAGGTCTCTCTGGAGAACTGTGGAATCATTTGTGAGATATGGGAGGTACTGGCAAAGGACCACCAAACATGGTATGCCCACATCAAAGAAGGTGCTGCGCTCCATGATGGAAGTAGAACGGCAATAACTCAAAATAAAAACGAGATGCACAAATTTAGAGATATCTCTACTCCAAATGTTAACATGGAATATTTGTGCCTGACTTATGGTAGAGCCTTCTGAACTCATATTGGTTTGATCAGCTACAGTCAGGCCCACTGTACCTTGACTCCAACATAGTGATGTCAATTTGGTCCTCTTTAAGAACAAAGGACAACAACTAAAGTCTATGACACATTATATATCAACCAACAAGTACTTAAGACTTTGTTATATACCAAGTTTCGAGCTGGGATTTGAAGATACAAAGACAAAAGAAAAAGTTAGTCCCTGTCCTCAAGAATCTTACTTTCTAATAGAGAAGATAACAAAAACATACAGAGCTGTATATAAATATATGCAAAGCAGATACAAAGTAACTTTGGTGTGGTAACAAACTGGTAGAGAGGAAACAGAGGTAGACAGAGAAGACCATGGACATTTTTGCTAGTTTATGATCTATAGAAGCAGTAGACATGAAGTCAGAAGACTTGAATTAGGTCTTATTTCTACTATATACTACCTATGTGAACTCAGGAAAATCACTTAACCTTTCTGGACCTTGTCTAGAACATGTGAGTTCAAATCCAGCCTCAGACACTTTCTAGTTGGTGTGAACCCGGGCAAATCATTTAACTTCTTTTTGCCTCAGTTTCCTCATCTGTAAAATGGGGATAATAACAATACTCACTTCACAGGGTTGTCATGAGGATCAAATCAGGTAAGTGTAAAGCACTTAGCACAGTGCCTGACACATTGTAAGTGCTATATAAATGCCCATTATTATTATTAT